GTCCCCGCGGGGGGGAAGTGCCGAACTACGCATACTCCGTTATCTCTTACACATGAATGTTGAATCTCCCATAGCACACGATGACCACTTTGATCAAACTGCAGATACTATTCCACAAGCATGAGTCACTTGGTCTGAGACAAAAACAGATACATGTCTGGATAAAACATAAGATATCTGCAAGTTGCGCTTCCTGATATAAATTACAGCCACAACCTCCGGTATGGGTTCCGTACCACAGGGCCGCAGTCCAATTATGTGATCGTGGATGTAACTGCGTTAACAGATGAACTGAAATAAAACAACCAGACGTCCTCCGACACCAGGAAGATTTTAGGGAAAGTACGCAGGTTGCTTCAAGGTTTTTTCTCCACAAACATGTCTACGCTGGGATCTGCTTGTTTGTTTGGTTGTTGTATCTTAACGCCACACTCAGCAATATTCCAGCTATATTACGGCGGTCTGTAAATTATGGAGTCAGGACCAGACAATCCAGTGATTAACATCATGAGCATCGATCCACGCAATTGGGATACGATGACATGCATCAACCAAGTCACCGAGCCTGACCACCCGATCCCGTTAGTCGTCTAACGGGATCGGGTGTTCAGGCTGGATAGCTTGAATATTGCTGAGTGCGGCGTTAAACAACAAACAAACAAACATTGACCGGGGTATTAGAAATATAGCGCTATGAGCATCACTTGGTGAATGGAATCTGCCGTATAAACAGGGCATCTTATTGAGATGTGGTGTATAGGGAACTGTGCAGGGCGACCTATTCGTACTGCTACATCACATCCACACAGCTTGAGGCAAGAGTTAACGTAGGAAACACCAAGCAATGATAATGAAAGAACATTTTTGTTTACAGCTTATACGGAGGTGGTAGCGTGGGCGTCATGCGAAGGGCCGGTTTCTATTTGTTTCACACGCACAAGTTGTGAGGCCAATTATGTGATCTCAAGTTGGGGAATCTTTGTGAAAGGGTGTATGGGGGGGGGACCTAACTCACCTATTGACGAACTACACGTTACAAAATGGGCAGGTACAAACTTGGTAAAAGTGCACCATATGTCACGAATGTGCATACGCATGTAAACGTACTGTACGTAACATTAGATGTCACTGAACATAGATTTAGTGACTGCTCTTCACAGCCGATACACCTGTGTGTGAGGTGTGCATGCTCGAGTAACCCATTGCTATACAGTCCGATCAGTAGAGCGCAAGACGGTGATATATATATATATAATATTGTTAGATCATATTTTCGCTCCCCCGGCTTCAAAACTTACACTTTATTAACCGGTAGTTAAAAAAAGTAATTTAAATTTGGCCGTTTCCCTCTAATTATTACACCATATTGATGTGTAAGTACTTCCTTTAGGGACCGACCATCTGATGTTCTGGGGGAGGGGGGCTGGGATTTTTTTATGGAGACCAGCTATATTCCTAGCTACATCTGCACAACCTGATAATTTTTTAATTAAAACTATTACAAATTCTTTTTTTTCAACGGTCAGAAGCACAAGTATTTTTTTTCAAGTGTTTTAGGGGACAATTTATTTTTTTCAAAAATCAAATTCAAATAACCAGAAATTACCATATGTATAGTCCATAGTGCCAGTATTTAACGGAGACTGGTGAGTTGGATTACTGATGAGGATGAATGGAGCGTGTGGTAACAAAAAAGGGACAGGCCAGATTTAACTGAAGCGCAAGTAAAATATCTGCCGTATTCTTCAGAAAAACTAACTCTCGTGTTATTGGTGGTATTTGTGACAGGATAGTGCCCCAATCAAAATTCAAAATTAAACATTGATTCAAAATCATTATTGTCGTGTAAAAATAAGAAAAACGAAAAAAAAACACGTTTGTTTATGACAAGTAATATATGTACTTACCTCTTTTTAATGGACCTTCTTTGAAGGTTTTTCTCAAAACTTTATAAGCACTCGCGTCGTGAGTGAGTGAGTGAGTGAGTTTGGTTTTACGCCGCTTTTAGCAATATTCCAGCAATATCACGGCGGGGGACACCAGAAATGGGCTTCACACATTGTACCCATGTCGGGAATCGAACCCGGGTCTTCGGCGTGACGAGCTAACGCTTAAACCACTAGGCTACCCGACCGCCCCCTCGCGTCGTGAAGAATAGAAAGATCTTGATATAGAAAATATATTTATTTCATATTCGTGAAAATTCTAGGTCGGCGATGAACCATTTGCATCAATCCTGCTATATGTTGGTTCCCTTTACAATATATCTGCAATAGCCGTTACAAAGTGATGGTATGGGGAACATTGTAGACGTTTTTTATTAATACCTATTCTAGCAAAGGTTGACTTACCATCGTTATGATGATTAATGATCTACATGGTGACCACGGATGACGAGGGTACAACTGTGTGTCAGTCACTATGACGACAATTGCTAAACGGTGCCCCCGCTTCAACAACCAGGCTACACGACCTCCAGTGGTTCCGTCGGCCACTAAAGCAATGAAGCGCTCGTATAATATCGGTTCTCATGCATGCCAGTGGAGCCCCACACATCCACAGCCACGTGTGTTATGTATCCTGGTTGGTGGGGGCGAACACTCGCCTACGTACATGTTGTATATGTTAACGTAGGAATGCATTTACCACCTGTACAGCATTCAGTCTGGTAAATGTACACAGACTGTGAAAATGTTGTTTCATGTAGTTAGGCGGGATGACGAGAAATCTCGCGATATTTTACCAGCGATGTATAACGGGCGACTCGTGAGTCAAACAAGCATTTGCGGAGAGTCAACGGTGAGTCATCGGTAACTCATCGGAGAGTCACTGGAGAGTCATGAGTAAGAATGACATCAGCCGGATCGTGCAAAAACATCTAATTTGAATGTCCACCAAGTCACACCTTTCAATGTCCCTTTAGAGCCAACACAGAGGACACAACGTCAGGTACACGAAGTCAGCGATCTAACCCACTCAGCCACCGAGGCTTCCAGAAAAATGAAAGTCCGACAACTGGTAGTCTAGATCACGTACTTTTTGTACCAAGTGTAAATTGGCACGGTTCCCATGGCCGATTAGGTGCTTCACCCTGGCGGTGTGGGTTCGAATCCCGGACGGGACTCAACCCCAAAAAGTACGAGAATCTGTACTTTACCAAGAAAGTGTTATCCAAAATATAACATTTGCTACATTTGACCACTTTCTAAATGTTCTTGTGTGTTCATAGCTTTCACAGGGCATCTTACATAATCCATTCAAGATATTTGACATTTTTTATATGTCTACATATCTAGATAAACAGATGTCATCGAATGGTTAACTTTCATTGAGAAAATATCCTAAATCGTGAAAAACTATTTCCATTTGCGTAGTTATCTTATGTTTACATTGGTTGTACGGCTCCACGTGCTGTCTTCGAAGTCCTACTGGGAGCTAGCCATCCGGACATATATATTTAAGAATTGACCTTCACTTCGTGTGAGTTCATTGGAGTATGAAAAAGATGGTACTTGTTGTTACCCTGTTGCACTAAGGGGCTAAAACAAGGACTGGATGACTCGGAGTCAGTATACTGTGTCTGAGTGGGGTATTCATGTTTAACTGCGGCATGGTATCTCAGTGGGCTAGCACTATAAATCCCTCTCTCTCTCTCTCTCTCTCTCTCTCTCTCTCTCTCTCTCTCTCTCTCTCTCTCTCTCTCACACACACACACACACACACACACACACACACACACACACACACACATACACACACATAGATTAGAGATCCAAACTGTATGAACGTCGGAGCTTGCTGTATCTTTACCACGTGGGTAATAAATTCAGTTATATATTCAGTATACGAGTTGAAAGCGCTAGCCAATAAAGACTGTGTTCAATCTTACTCCACTTATTTAATTATTACTATTTTGTCCCTGAGAGTTAGAACTTTACTGTGCTTTATATATATTTAAATATATTGTCATGCAACTCCCTATCGCAGTTGTAGTAGCATATCTATATAATTATGCAAAACAATATGTAAAGCGACCCCAAATACTTGCATTAGTCCGTTCTGTTCAGGTAGGTACCACTTTCAGTGTTTACAAACATGGCGTCGCCCTTGTCGATTGGCCATCAAGTCAGAATTTACCATCGTGAATCTGGAGAAACTGCTTGGTTAACTTTTACCACGATCAAAAGAGTAGCCTAAGATACTTAAAAGTCCGTGTCTACCTGGAACATAGCTGAGACATTTAACAAGTTTGGGCAATTTTGGAAACATAAATTGCGAAACAATTGAAGGATGACACTAGCCAAGCCGAATAAGTTTCCACATCTGTGTTTGTAGACATCTGCGGCTTGGGGCCCATTTCCCGAATTTAAAACATTTGGATTTGGCCGAAATATATCCGAATTGGTACTGTGTTTCATTTTGTTGCTGTGTGTACATCTCACTTGGCAGGCAGACTTGGCAGGTTAGAGTAGCTTCCCTTTGACAAAGGGCAGTTACTCTAGCAGACAGACCATAGATTACCGCGAAAAGGAAAGTAGCAACAGTATATGTAGGCGATTGTTTATGTTTGCCTATATGTAGTTACGCCACTGTCAATGAGGACCAGGTTTCAGTTGGGACTATATTGACTGCTGTCTGTCCGACTGACAAATCACCGACCTTCTGACGTAATATATATTCATGCACACATGTTTAGGTAATTTTTGTGAGAGTTGAGAACAGGTTTATATATACCGTCAGAGGTTAGGAGTGACATTATATGATAAAGCGGTTATCACGCTTGTGTTTTGGGATGGTATATATTCCCCTCTATATCACCGCTAGGAACAGTATTAAAGATACATCGCGGCTATCAATGTTGAAACCCATGAGCACGTACATGGTGCTGGATTATAACCAGGGTGCATGTGGGATTCAAGCCAAAGATCATCGGATCCTTACACAACAAAGGGACGCAACCCAGTGATTTATAACGTGATTTGAGAAAATATATACACACGAATGGTACATCAAATTTTATTGTACAAAAATAGCACTCTCATTCTGCATCATTTCAATAATGCGATTTGTCCCTCGTGATGACCGTCCAAATTTAAAACATATGAATACTATTAATGACAACATAAACTTGACATTTTTACATTCTAAGACCCATTCTGAAATATTTTGTCCCACAGTATTAACTTTCAGTGTCGTTGTAGCAAAGGGTACACAGACGGATCCAACCCTGCTTTCCGGATACGCCCTCTGGTGGTCGGGTGATCAAGGGGCGATAACTTTTCCTGTACTCCCATGTACACTTCACTGTACAAGATGTGATCCTTTATTTAGGATGGGGGAAGAGTTGGCAGAGGGTTTGAGATTTCATTTAGAGCTGAAATGAAAATAGAGCGAATTAGTCTTAAAGCTGTAAAAAAAGATAACGTTACCTGTGAGATTACCTTTGTCATTTTTAGTTTTGAGGCCTTCGAACGTAGATTCGATACCTGTAAAATTATCCACTTCTCATAGAAACAGCCGATTTGACGACCGCTTCACCGCGGAAGATAATATCAACAGAAAAGAATTAATTTCAAAGTCATTGCCGGTAAACGTTTTTTAAATAATAATTTATAACATAATAGATTTGCGTAAACTACAATATTCAAAGTATACGCGGCAATGCATTTTGTGCCGAAATAGAAAACGACTGAGAGAGGGGTTTTGATGGCCGACAGTGACATGCCACCTCTCCTTCAGGTTGGCTTTAGGTCGAGCTACGCCTATTATGGTTTATTCTCTCTGCAGTGTTTTATTCTACGATAAACAACTCCCACACGTCTTGCTTCTTAAGTACAAAAACAGTCACGTCACAGCATCATTACACCCAGTGCAGAAGAATTCCAGTTCAAAGACAGCTAATTAACGTGATATTTCGTGGTAGTCATCCGTGGGGTTAGAATTGGTCCCCAGCAACCAATGCTCGTCCTAGACGCGACCAAATGGATCGGGTGGTCAGGCACGGTGACTTGATCGATGGTGTGTCATCGTACCCCGACAGCGTGGATCGTTGCTCACAATATCGATTACTGGACAGCGATAGAAATTAACATGTATAATCCCTAAGTCCTTATATTAATAACATATAACAAATCCCTTACGAATGGCAGATGTCTACTAGTCCTTATGATACCTTAGCTATTGGGCAGTTTGGCAAGGACTATAGGACTAGTGCCAATTTCTATCGATGTGGCATTTTCTGGCCCAGGTCCGATTATATTCAGGGAGCTGTTACATAGCTGGAATATTGCCACATTCGTGGTAGCGGCCGTATTTGGATGTAACTGACAAGGAGTAGAGATGAGGTGGGATGAAATTGAGTTTTATGTCGCGTCCAATATTATTGCACTTAGAAAGCGACTTGGGTGCACGTGTGTGGCTGCTTGTACTGGTCCGGACTGATGCCGATTTATAGTGCTAGCTCACTGATACCATGCCGCAGTTTAACATGAATACCCCACTCAGACAGAATACTGACTGAGCCGATCAGTCCTTGTTTTAGCCCCTTAATACAGAGCACCAGGCTGGGTAACAACAAGTACCATATTTTAACGTCTTTCGGTATGACGCGGCCGGGGATCGAACCCCGAACCTTCCGCTCTCCGGGCGGACGCTCTACCACTAGACCACGGAGGCGGTCGACAAGGAGTAGAGACGTGGAAATACTCACTGTCACAGACTTTGTTGAGAAGGATGTTCTCCAGGTTCCCGGGACCACTGGTCGACAGGACGTTATCTCTGCTCGAAGCGATACTCGACAGGAAGTTCGAGTTGGTCACGACGCCAAGGTCGACAACGTATGTCTCAATGCCGTCGAACTGGGCGTCCCTGGCTTGACGCAGAATGTCGAATCTGCTAAGCTCCATGGTTTGCTGCCCAAGGAACAATATGGCGACCTGGAAGCAATCGGATCATCATCAGCTTATGAATAAATAATTAGTATGTGTCATTTGTTAATTATTACTAATAATATATGTTTGTATCTATTAATATGTCAGTTCACAAAAAAGGTTTGTTCTAATAATGTGACGTAGTAGGCCGTTTGTCTTTTATTGGTCTTAATTTCACTCACTCACTCACTCACTCACTCACCCACCCACCCACTCACTCACTCACTCACCCACCCACCCAAACCCACTCACTCACTCACTCACTCACTCACCCACCCACCAACTCACTCACTCACTCACCCACCCACCCACCCACTCACTCACTCACTCACTCACTCACTCACTCACTCACCTACTCACTCACTCACCCACTCACTCACTTACCCACCAACCCACCAACCCACCCACCCACTCACTCACTCACTCACTCACTCACTCACCTGGTTAGCCTGTGGTCTTGTGCCTCTGGCGTCTCGGGCCTCGTTCCGCATGTCCTTCAGCAGGTTAGTGTAGGAATCCTGGCGAGGGGTTGGGTCGCCGAAGTTGCTGCAGAAGAGGGAGGGGTCTGAGAGAGGAACTTCGTTAGCTCGGCAGGAACCGAGGAGCAGGGACAGGCGCAGTCGACTACGGTCGTCACGGAGGGCGTTCACCATGTTGCTGACGATGCTGAAGGCGTTGTCTGCCTCTGATGGTCCGGCGACGAAGATGAGATCGGCGTCCTCACGAACACCGCAGACTGAAGGCATTGAGAAGAACATTATACAGGCTATCAATACAGATGAAGAACTTTAGAGAGCCTATCGATACAGGTGAAGGCGTGGAGAAGAACATTATACAGGCTATCGATGCAGATGAACAACTTTAGAGAGCCTATCGATACAGGTGAAGGCGTGGAGAAGAACATTATACAGGCTATCGATGCAGATGAACAACTTTAGAGAGCATATCGATACAGGTGAAGAACTTTAGAGAGCCTATCGATACAGGTGAAGAACTTTAGAGAGCCTATCGATACAGGTGAAGGCGTGGAGAAGAACATTATACAGGCTATCGATGCAGATGAAGAACTTTAGAGAGCCTATCGATACAGGTGAAGAACTTTAGAGAGCCTATCGATACAGGTGAAGGCGTGGAGAAGAACATTATACAGGTTATCGATACAGATGAACAACTTTAGAGAGCCTATCAATACAGGTGAAGAACTTTAGAGAGCCTATCGATACAGGTGAAGGTGTGGATAAGAACTATATACAGAGCGGACGATGCTTTGATAAAAACAAACTATAGGATGCTAATGAGTAACTATTTCTATGAGTAAAGTATTTAGTTGTTTATATCTGTGATTTTAATTTAAATCCAACAGCTCAATTCAGAGGATTCATGTATGCCTTGGGTTAAAATTCCCTTGATTGTTGTTTTCTTTCAGTCCCATCTACCTACCTCTGCTGTTGAGGATGATAGGCGGGAGTCCGCAGATGCTGTTGGGAATAGTGCTGTACAGTCTGTCGAGGCCCCTGTAGTTGGTGATGTTAAACATGAAGCTGGAGTCGGGGTCGTTGGCAATGGCTCTCCATTCTCTCTCGTCCGTGTATTGTCCGACGCCGATGACAAACATATAGTAGCCCTCTCGCCTTGCCGTGTCAGCCTCGTTCCTGGTGGCTCCGGGTTGACGTGAGTACCCATCAGTCACCACAACGATGACCCGGGTCACATCGGGACGGAACTGACCATTTGTCCGGACATATCTGCAGGAATCACGTCGCCAAACAGTTTTAGAATAATAATAATGTTCCGTTGCCGATGTAGGTGTTTTGAGTTTTATGCAGCTTTAATTCAAAATTGAACCACATCACGATGAGGAACACCGGAACTCAAAATGGAGAATGATTAGTTATAATGTGTAAACTTAAGTCTTTGAAAGGCATTTAGAAGAGACAGATCAGGAAGAGCATTTATGGATGTCCACTTCTTTATTATGAGGAACCACTAATTATTCCCTCATGCAAAATAGATTGATTCCAAACAAACCTGATAGCGTCGGCGGTGTTGGTAAGGCCTGTGAGGTAGGGGACGTTCCTGTCGTTGATAGCGCTACGCAGGTCGTCCTTGTTTTGGTACTCGCCCAAGGTGAAGGACACCCGGTAATTATCACTGAAGGTCAAGGCTCCGACGCGTGTACTCCGTGAGGACACGTCCAGTCGGTTGATCACCTCCCTGACGAACTGTCGCTGAAGTTCGTAGTCCTCGATGTAGATGGAGCTGGAGGAGTCCAGGATGAAGAAGATGTCAGCCTCTTTCTCACGACAGGATGGCAGAGCTGACCACAGGAAAACAATGTCGTCAGCTTATATTTACTCTTCACTTAACCAGGGAAGCATGCACGGCACTGACACAATGTTTTGCATGATGAATAGACATAGAACATGGACAGTGCAAGCGTATTATCGAGTTATTTATCGAGTGACATCATGTGCTCACATGACTTGATCCACGATGTCTGACGGTCGAAATGCATATAACCAAAAACGGATATAACAAACTAAAACTAGTGGTCCCTTTGAGTTCGTTATAACCGTAGTTTACTGTACTTACAAAGTCGTTTATACTTAATCGTTTTTATGAAACTTTAACATAGATTTAAATTCGATGACGTTTAAACAACTTACTCTGGTCGAACTCTGGAGGGAGGTCACGTTCTGAAAATGATTTATGTGAAAAATTAATATGCACGTAAAGCCACAACATATGTGTATGAACCTGCGAGCACTGTCAGATGTAATGCACAAACGAGTATGAACCTACAAGCACTGTGAGATGTAATGCACAAATGAGTATGAACCTACAAGCACCGTGAGATGTAATGCACAAATGAGTTTGTATCTACAGGCACCGTGAAATGTAATGTACAAATGAGTATAAACCTACAGGTACTGTGAGCTGTAATGCACAAATGAGTATAAACCTTCAGGTACTGTGAGATGTAATGTACAAATGAGTATAAACCTACAGGCACTGTGAGATGTAATGTATAAATGAGTATAAACCTATAGGCACCGTGAGATGTAATGTATAAATGAGTATAAACCTACAGACACCGTGAGATGTAATGCACAAATGAGTATAAACCTACAGGCACTGTGAGATGTAATGCACAAATGAGTATGAACCTACAGACGCCGTGAGATGTAATGCACAAATGAGTTTGAACCTACAGGCACTGTGAGATGTAATGCACAAATGAGTTTGAACCTACAGGTACTGTGAGATGTAATGCACAAATGAGTATAAACCTACAGGTACTGTGAGATGTAATGCACAAATGAGTATGAACCACAGGCACTGTGAGATGTAATGCACAAAAGAGTATGAACCTACAGGCACTGTGAGATGTAATGTACAAATGAGTTTGAACCTACAAGTACCGTGAGATGTAGTGTACAAATGAGTTTGAACCTACAGGCACTGTGAGATGTAATGCACAAATGAGCAGGAATCTACAGGCAGTGTTAGATGTGCTGTACAAATGAGTATAAACCTACAGGCACTGTGAGATGTAATGTATAAATGAGCAGGAATCTACAGGCAGTGTTAGATGTGCTGTACAAATGAGTATAAACCTACAGGCACTGTGAGATGTAATGTACAAATGAGTATGAACCACAGGCACTGTGAGATGTAATGTACAAATGAGTATAAACCTACAGGCACTGTGAGATGTAATGTACAAATGAGCATGAACCACAGGCACTGTAAGATGTAGTGTATATTTTTAGTATGAAACACAGGCAATGTAAGATGTAGTGTATAAATGAGTATGAACCTACAGGCACTGTTAGATGTGAATGTAATAATGAGTATGAATATTACACATATTGAACAATATATCATGACATATTTCTAATTCCTTATAATACTACTCAAAAGAAGCTAAAGGACAACCGATTAGGAGTTCCTTACCTTCTTTTGAGTAGTATGTATAGTTTTCCCTCTTTAGAATATACTCGTTTAATGAACGTGTTCAAGTTCAATGCACTTGTCACAGAAGTATTTCCTTCCTGACACAAACAAGACGCCACTATGTTTGACGTAGTGTGCACACTTGGTTATAAGTCACAGTGTATGCTGTTTCAGTTGACAGGCGGAAATACCAAATATATGTCTCAACGAGGGCTTTGTGTTAAAGTCAGTGTGTGATACACATAATTCTGTCACCGGTTTGATTGGCATTTTTTAGAAGATGTACAGTAACAGTAAAGACAAAATGTTTGTTTAGGGATGACAACTTATTCTTAGAATAAAGAAAGTAACAGAAAATATCTTATCCTTACCAGTTTGTTGTTTATTTTCAAATATATCTTGAAATTCATGAATATTGTTTTGTTTATCAATAGGCACTTGAATATTTGCTAACATCTACTCGCAAAAACAAAACAAACAGTACAGCAATGGTAGGAAACGTATCACCTGAACTATGATATTAGCATTAGCGCGACTTAAAAGTTAACTCATTTTCTAAACTGTTTAGGTTATCGTTAATATTTTTAAGCTTGGAAAATTCTAATTTCACGTCCGTCAGTCTTTAAATATACGTGACAGACAGCGCTTCCACTACGAGACCTAACCCTGGCAAGTAAAACAGTCCATAAATGTATCTAGTAGGTCTAATGTACTTACGTGCAAATACTCCCACCATAAGAACCTGGAACAAGACACAAAAATACTGACTATAAAACCACAAACAAACAGAAGTGCAAAAGCATGGCACACATGGTTCGGGTTAAAACCTCTCAAAGGGTAAGGTTTCCCCCGCAATCACCAGAGTGAAAAATGACTGCATACTCTGTGTGTCCGAGTGAGGCGTGAGAGCGTGTCATTTGGACGGGATAGTCGCAGACCGTCGACCTGTTAACCAACATTATTCGCGCGATGTCTCAGTGCGGTGTCCTTTTATGCTTGACCCGCTTACCTGATGTTGTTTTAACAGATTAAAGGGGGGGGGGGGGGCTATCGAATGAGCGGTGTAAGTGGTTATGTCACGCATATTAATTTGTGTCGAATTGTCATATAGAGCGTCTGGATTCCAATAGCGCCTTAATCACAACTGATACTACTACTACTACTACTACAACCACTACAAATACTACTACTACTACCACTACTACTACTCCTTTCCTTAACTCAGCAATATTCCAGCTATATGACGGTGGGCTACTACTACTACTAATAATAATAATAATAATAATAATGATAATGATAATAATGATAATAATAACTACTACTTTTGATGCTGCTACTGCTACTATGACTACTAATACTACTACTACTACTACTACTACTACTACTACTACTACTACTACTGCAAAACTTGCTACATGAGTACAATGTGTGAAGCCCATTTCTGGTGTCCCCCGCCGTGATATTGCTGGAATATTGCCTAAAGCGGAGTTAAAAACCATATACACTCATTCACGCAAAACTTGCTACTTGTTAATTTCTAGAACTACGACTACTACTGCTACAACTACTATACCACTACTACTACTACTACTACTACTACTGCTACTAGTACTACTGTATACAGAGAGTCAACTTGTCACGTGAGCTCAACATGATTAATGGCAGCCATTATTGACTTCATGTTCGCACATCAGTGGTTCGTGATCATGAGTGAGTGAGTGAGTCAGTCAGTGAGTGAGTATGTTACTTTACGCTATACCCTAGTCATGCACAACACGATAATGGGCAGCTGTATTCGATATGTTTAAGGTTACTGGTCATATTCAAATATAACTCTAAACGGTAAAAAACGTACTGACATTTCTTCCTTTTCATACTTTTCTTTAGAAAGTAACTAAAAGTTAAATTAAAAGTCTTACCGTCAACGCCAGCAAGCCACGAAACCCTGCCATGTTTGATGTTGTCGTCTGCTCGCCTGTCTGTCCTCCGGTGCGGCAAGCGACGTCGTCAGACACTTTTATACATCCCCCCAGGGGGCGTGGCGATCAGTAGATGACTCCTTAAAAGGATCGGATATGGACTATTTGCCTTACTGAACAATAACAAAAGATTGTGTTAAAAAGCCCTGTAGTCTGCACTGCATAAACGATTTGAAGGTATATATTTTACTGCATATTTGTTGTGCTCAAAGTTTCAAAATCTTATAACATCTTTCCCTGTCTATGTATAAACACACACGAACTGTAAGTGCCATCGTTTTGATACATAATAAATGACTGGTGAAATCCGTCATCCTTTTCGCCAATCTTGAAAAAGAAAAAGAGAAATCGATAGCCATTGATTTTTGCAGGGTGTGTGAATTATTCCTTCGGTAATCATTTTGCCGAATCCAGTCACAGGTACCTGCAAAAACTTTCAGTTCCACTGCCAAATATTTTGACTTGTCACAGCGGTTTGAACCACAGAGGAGATCTGGAATGAAATACATGCAACAATGTCACCATGCACATTTACAAACACTGATTTCGGTACGCACACTTATCGGTAAAAAATCGTGCATTACTTGTAAACGCATAACGTAGGTATGGGAATCTGCCTATGACATTATGTGCATGAAGAACAGATATGTAATATCCGTATTTACAAAACATATTCTTAATAATCGTGTTCCTGAGTAATAGTGCCGTAATACAATTTTAAAACAACGTTTGATATTGCAATATTTTGCTCAATTTTATTCACTCAATTCCACATTTGCGCGTCCTTCTTCGATAATGTATTCCACTTTGCACTATATAACAACGATGTTCAAGTTTATTTTCAGGGGTAAAATATAAGTTTAAAAGCATGCATAGTTTAGATATTTAGTCTATTGTGCTAGGCTTGCAAATGATGTTAAATCCAGGCCACTTCCGGCCATAAGAGAGGATTGAAGTGACTTCTTATCTACTTCCGTCGATGGTCAGCCCACTACCCACAAGCCCCTCATGTGCCCAGCCCACTTCCGGTTCACGACGCTTCCAGCAGCTCATTTGTTGACCTTGAAGCAAGGAAAGTAACAAGATCAGCACAAACACTGACTGAATAACATTGTATTTAATTGGTGCTAATGTTGACATGAACTCTATAAATCCTGTTTAATTTTACCTTTTTTTATTTTACAAAATTGGATGCGGATAGTTTAGTATACATGTATGATGTGAACACTAATTACCGATCATGCAGTTCTCACCGTATTCTTGCATACTTTTCAACATATCTTCAACACGAGAGGGGCACGGATGGCCCAGTCGTCTCGCGATTCGCTGTGCAGAGTTGCGTACCTTGGGCACGCCAGAAACCTATGATTGTGGGTTCGAATCCCGGTTCGCTCCGATTATGTTTCTAGGTTTGTCAGCACCATACCCGTGCTCGTGGGTTTCACCGAAGTGGTAAACTTCTGAGACCAGCATCACTTGGGGCTTTCCTCCCACATTAAACTGACACGCCGCGATATAACTGGAATACTGTTAAAAGCGGCGTTAAACACAACTCACGGAATAACGTCGGAATAACGTCCATCTAAATGTTTTATTTTGTGCTGCGAGATACTCTTACTGACTAGATATGAAAATAATATTTGCATATGCTAATACAGATATAATCCAACAATTCGATCATACATGTAGTTACAGAAAAAAACTTTTCGATGATACAAAGTACTAGTTATAATAATGCCATTGCAAAATCGTAACTTTGTTACCAAACTTCTATCTATACACGTGCATATCAATGCCGCAAAAAATAAACATTAACACTTGCAGGGACATGTTTAATAAGATACTATTTCTTTAATTCAATTTCTTAAAAAATAGTGACGCCTGTCCAGTTTTCAAAACTTAGCCCCAAGGACTAAATTATAAATCAGGGAACCCCATATCTAAAAGCAAAACGAGCTTCTTGCTGAAGGAAAATATCTTGGCATGGCTGAGTCTAGTGTACCCAGTTCAGCTTGATACTGAAGGGTCAACAAGAGTTCCATGACAGAAGGCGAGCGTGGTTGTTGACCGAGCTCGATACAGGGAGGGATGTCTCGGAAGATACTGCTCGACACTGTCAGACAAGAACAGCGAGTGGCGCAAGCTGAGATGACTGTGCTGACAGTGCAAGCTCACCAGCAAATGAGTGAGTGAGTGAGTGAGTGAGTGAGTGAGTGAGTATGGTTTAACGCCGCTTTTAGCAATATTCCAGCAATATCACGGCAGGGTACACCAGAAATGGGCTTCACATATTGTACCCATCTCGGGAATCGAACCCGGGTCTTTGGCGTGACGAGCGAACGCTTTAACCACTAGGCTACCCGACCGCCTCCTCACCAGCAAAAGACATTTCCAGATTAGACGTGCATTCATAACATAGGCGGATCCCCCTGTTTCCTTTGTAAACCAAACGTAGTATTTTTGTAGGCAGTGAAATGTTATCCGACAGAGGATTTTGATATTTTTTACCCCATTCCTTTTTAAAATGCTGGATCCGCCCTAACATAATGTGGTCCTTCATGCAGCCACACAATATATTCACGTATGAAAGTAAACACCCAGCTGAATATTTTGTGTTGACAGTAAATAGTACTAATCGTGGGACAGAAAGTCGAAACCTGTATGAATATATACGAAACGAAACGCAAAAGTAGTGAAATCGTATAAAGTCTTGCTGACATCCTTACAAAATTAATAGCAAACATTAATGGGTTTTTGTCTGCATGGATTGGGATTGATTTGTGTGGAAAGAATGAGGTACTGCAGAAATTTGGTGAAAAAGATGGGAAAATCGCAAAAACAAAACCACGTAAGAGCCTGGCCCCGAAACACACCAATATGACATGCACGTGCAACATCACTGGTTGGGCTATAGAAATGCCATCACAATCTTACAGCAAGTGATCGGCGAAAACATGCCTCGATTGACGGAAGCCCAACACAACAGCGTCATCGACTGACTGCAAACAGGAGAATCATCTTCAGCTGTAGCCAGGTTTTTCCACGTAGCGCCAAGCACCATTACAAGACTGTGGAACCGTTATCAGACACACGGGACAACACTGGACCTTCACAAATCCGGTCGACAACGTATTGATACTAGAGCGCAGGCCAGATTCATATGGATATGTCCCTTATGTGAAAGAACCACCACAACCACCCCTACAACTACGGCAATACCAGGATTGCGTAGGACATCAGCCCAGGCAGTGAAGGATCGTTTACCCGCTGAGGTTATTCGCCCTAGACCACTAGCTTTTTGACGTTTTTAATTCATTGTGACGGACCTGTATCGTTGGCTGCGAGGTCAATGGTGTCAAGGTCACAGAGTATGGCCACAACTGCGATGGAGACAAGTTGGAGTTTTTCATGACGTCATATTAATACAATGCAAATATGGAATTGTACATGACACCAGTTTCACCTTCATAAAATACAGGGAAAATGTGTAAATAGTAAATGGGATTTAACATTGGGATTGCAATGATAATTTGATATACCTGTTCTGAGAGCTAATAATAACCTTTTTGTATCACATCTCTATATTTTACGTATGTGAAAAGGCGTTTCATGAATCTCACGCCATCTTGATTGTATTCCTTCTGAAAGCAATCGTAACATGTGACACCTCATGAACTTCTTCATGCTATTCTTCGCTATGGGAAGAGATTTTTTACATGTGGTAATTCACAACAATTGTTTCATCTGATGTGTATTTATTTCCTTATTACGTACTCTTAATTATACAGTGTGTTGGTAAGTTTAGTTACACGTATTTCAGTATTTCAGTGACGTGTCAGTTTAATGTGGGAGGATGCAGGCTTGAGACGTTTTGCTGAAGACACCCAGCCCGGCATGGCCCTGACAGGTCAAGGTTCATAATCAGGGACCCATTGTATAGACAACATCGCAACTTGCTACTGCTGTGTTGTGTTGCCATTCGTCGCGACCCTCATCTGATTAAGGATGCGACCGTTGCGTGAAAACTACAGTCGTACCCCGTTATCTCGAATGTACCGACATCGCGAAGCTGTTCTCCGGTTCCGACCGCCTCACAACATAAATGCATATACATTTTTCCGCTTATCTCGAATTCCGGATAAAAGACATAGCGCTATCTCGAACCGTGGACTCGCTCCAAACTGTGACTTTGAATTTACCGAGGATAAACGTTTAAATTACTTGCTACTTGCCTAGCTTATTTACATACACTGAGGCAAGTGCCAATAAATGCAAACATCGGTAGCTGATTTGCTTCCGTAAAAGGTAAATTCAACTTTTTGTAAGTTGTACCATGGTCACGTGCGACTCACTCCGCTGTTGTTTATTTCTGATTGATCATATGCCAAATAAGGCACACGAACGGTTTTTTGTCAATCCTAAAGGAACTTAAATTACACTGTACATGATTTGTCTCACTTGTCATTTGAGCTGAGAACTTATAAGTACATATCACACAATGCCACATGTAAAGCCAGCATAACGAGGTTCGACTGTATATCCAAAATAGAAAACCACGTCGCTTAAAGTTTGCGATGCAGTTAAATACATATGCACTACATGGTGCTGTGCTGAGGTTGCAGCTCCAAACTTACGTACAGTGTATTAACATGTTACAATGTTCTCATGCAGGTGCATAAAGAACCTCATCGGTTTGTCCTTGGATATCAAACACATCAAATTACACACTTGCCGTGGTGTTTTAAGCTTTAACATGTGTTGATATATTTGATGTCAAACGAGGTTGAGATAAAAAAAAATCATTTTATTCATCAGCCTAAAAAGCGTTCTTTTTCAGTTTGTAGACAATAATAGCCGGTATCTTGAGTAAAGTACAGCTAACTTGCTTCAGTGGCAGAGAGATTAGTTATTTCGCCATCACTAATGGTCTGCAATGCATATTGTGATGTAATGTTTTTCGAACTTAATCGGAATGTTTCAGGAACCCTCCATGACTGAAGAAATGTCCACACATATCTTCCTTGAGAGACACGTACATTATGTATTTTTTAATTCATATATTTTTAAAG